GCATTCTTTATGGAAACTCATGTCATCATCATCATCATCATCATCAATTATATTATTTTTTAACCACCTCCACTAATACATCTACAGTGTTATTCTAACTTTATTTTAGTTTTATTATTGCAGTGTTAATACTTTTATTTGTGTATTTTTTTGTTTTCATGTTAATTTTAGTTAAAATTATGTGATTTTGTCATTTTATTAGTTTTATTGAAAAAAATATTGCTATTTAGGGTTAATTCATTTTTATTTCTATTTATTTCCAGTTAATAATTTTAGTATTTGAACTTTTTGTAAAGGTCACATTTTTAAGTTCTTCAACTGATGTGTATATTTTATTTTATTTCAGCTTAATTTTAATGAACTGAGATGTTTTATTAGTTTTAGTTAACGATATAATAACCTTGATATACAAGTAGTTACTTCAATTAGCTCATTGTTTCTGACTTTTTTAATGAATATATTTGTATATAACTGTGATTAGTTTATGTACACTTCTGAAATACACGGGCCATTGACGAATAAGGTTTTTAAAAGTGTAAAAAAAAAGATTTAATTAATTTAGAATTTTTTTGAATTAGTAAAAGTGTTACCAATGAGATTATGTGTTTTTTCCAACCACACTTAACACTGCTTATGTCATTTTTACAAGATGGACAAAATCTGTCACCAAAAAAGTCATTCAGTTTAACCATGAATATTCCTGAAATTATTCATTTGGAAATAAGTACCTCAGACAGTTCCTCTGAACTAATGTGGACTCGTGCATTTTCTGTAAAGCAGCTTTGAAACGATGTGTATTGTGACACAAATAAATGTGAATTGAATTGTTTTAGCACACACATATCAATAGGTGATATTGAAGAAGACGACGGTGGAGTTAGCCATTAGAGATGCATGAAAGCTGAAGAGTAAACGCGTGTGTGCTTGTTGCGTAGCTGTAGCTGTAGTTGTGTTGTTGACCCCTGACAGCGATGATGCATGACTGTAGCTCAGGGTAATTGATCTGACTGAGGGAAAGCTGAGGCCGTGCCTTTTTGACCACTCTTTAATAAACAAAAGAGTGCATTATGAGGAGCAGTTCCTTCCTGCGCTCGTTATCAGTGTCCTGAACCTCTCAGCCCTGAGCTACAGCTCACACACACTGATAGATGAGCAGGCCTGACCTGATGAAGAGTGTGTGTGTGTGTGTGTGTGTGCTGATCAGGACTCATCGAAGGGATGCGTTTATCTGGAGGGTTTAAAGGGATAGTTCACCCAAAAGTGAGAATTAGCCCATGATTTACTCTCCCTCAACTCACCCTAGTGTGTGTGACACTCTTCTCTCAGACGAAGACAATCAGTTATATTAAAACATTCACTGGCTCTTCCAAGCTTTATAATGGCAGTGAATGGAGGTTTCCAGAAAAGTGCATCATGAAACTAATGCACTTTTATGATGGACAGATGCACTTTTATGATGGACAGATGCACTTTTATGATGGACAGATGCACTTTAATGATGGACAGATGCACTTTTATGATGGACAGATGCACTTTTATGATGGACGGATGCACTTTTATGATGGACAGATGCACTTTTATGATGGACAGATGCACTTTTATGATGGACAGATGCACTTTTATGATGATAGATGCACTTTTATGGTGGACAGATGCACTTTTATGGTGGACAGATGCACTTTTATGATGGACAGATGCACTTTTATGATGATAGATGCACTTTTATGATGATAGATGCACTTTTATGATGGACAGATTCACTTTTATGATGGACAGATGCACTTTTATGATGGACAGATGCACTTTTATGATGGACAGATGCACTTTTATGATGGACAGATGTACTTTTATGATGGACAGATGCACTTTTATGATGGATAGATGCACTTTTATGATGATAGATGCACTTTTATGATGGACAGATGTGCTTTTATGATGATAGATGCACTTTTATGATGGACAGATTCACTTTTATGATGGACAGATGCACTTTTATGATGGACAGATGCACTTTTATGATGGACAGATGCACTTTTATGATGGACAGATGTACTTTTATGATGGACAGATGCACTTTTATGATGGATAGATGCACTTTTATGATGATAGATGCACTTTTATGATGGACAGATGTGCTTTTATGATGATAGATGCACTTTTATGATGATAGATGCACTTTTATGATGGACAGATGCACTTTTATGATGGACAGATGCTCTTTTATGATGATAGATGCACTTTTATGATGGACAGATTCACTTTTATGATGATAGATGCACTTTTATGATGATAGATGCACTTTTATGATGGACAGATGCACTTTTATGATGGACAGATTCACTTTTATGATGGACAGATTCACTTTTATGATGGACAGATTCACTTTTATGATGATAGATGCACTTTTATGATGATAGATGCACTTTTATGATGGACAGATGCACTTTTATGATGGACAGATGCACTTTTATGATGGACAGATGCACTTTTATGATGATAGATGCACTTTTATGATGGACAGATGCACTTTTATGATGGACAGATTCACTTTTATGATGGATAGATGCACTTTTATGATGATAGATGCACTTTTATGATGGACAGATGCACTTTTATGATGGATAGATGCACTTTTATGATGGACAGATGCACTTTTATGATGGACAGATGCACTTTTATGATGGATAGATGCACTTTTATGATGGACAGATGCACTTTTATGATGATAGATGCACTTTTATGATGGACAGATGCACTTTTATGATGGATAGATGCACTTTTATGATGGACAGATGCACTTTTATGATGGATAGATGCACTTTTATGATGATAGATGCACTTTTATGATGGACAGATGTGCTTTTATGATGATAGATGCACTTTTATGATGATAGATGCACTTTTATGATGGACAGATGCACTTTTATGATGGACAGATGCTCTTTTATGATGATAGATGCACTTTTATGATGGACAGATTCACTTTTATGATGATAGATGCACTTTTATGATGATAGATGCACTTTTATGATGGACAGATGCACTTTTATGATGGACAGATTCACTTTTATGATGGACAGATTCACTTTTATGATGGACAGATTCACTTTTATGATGATAGATGCACTTTTATGATGATAGATGCACTTTTATGATGGACAGATGCACTTTTATGATGGACAGATGCACTTTTATGATGGACAGATGCACTTTTATGATGATAGATGCACTTTTATGATGGACAGATGCACTTTTATGATGGACAGATGCACTTTTATGATGGACAGATGCACTTTTATGATGGACAGATGCACTTTTATGATGGACAGATGCACTTTTATGATGATAGATGCACTTTTATGATGGACAGATGCACTTTTATGATGGATAGATGCACTTTTATGATGGACAGATTCACTTTTATGATGGATAGATGCACTTTTATGATGATAGATGCACTTTTATGATGGACAGATGCACTTTTATGATGGATAGATGCACTTTTATGATGGACAGATGCACTTTTATGATGGACAGATGCACTTTTATGATGGATAGATGCACTTTTATGATGGACAGATGCACTTTTATGATGGACAGATGCACTTTTATGATGGACAGATGCACTTTTATGATGGACAGATGCACTTTTATGATGGATAGATGCACTTTTATGATGGACAGATGCACTTTTATGATGGACAGATGCACTTTTATGATGGACAGATGCACTTTTATGATGGACAGATGCACTTTTATGATGGACAGATGCACTTTTATGATGATAGATGCACTTTTATGATGGACAGATGCACTTTTATGATGGACAGATTCACTTTTATGATGATAGATGCACTTTTATGATGGACAGATGCACTTTTATGATGGACAGATGCACTTTTATGATGGATAGATGCACTTTTATGATGATAGATGCACTTTTATGATGGACAGATGCACTTTTATGATGGATAGATGCACTTTTATGATGGACAGATGCACTTTTATGATGGACAGATTCACTTTTATGATGGATAGATGCACTTTTATGATGGACAGATGCACTTTTATGATGGACAGATGCACTTTTATGATGGACAGATTCACTTTTATGATGGATAGATGCACTTTTATGATGGATAGATGCACTTTTATGATGATAGATGCACTTTTATGATGGACAGATGCACTTTTATGATATATTCCATGCCATTATAAAGCTCAGAAGCATCAGGGTGTTGATTAATAACTCTGATTGTGTTGGTCTGAGAGAAGAGTGTCACACACACCTATGATGGCTTGAGGGAGAGTAAATCATGGGCTAATTTTCATATTTGGGTGAACTATCCCTTTAAGGGCCGAACCGCTATGGTCTGCAGGGGTCATCAGGTCATGATGTAGTTGTGTAGTGTTGAAGGTCATGCTGATGTCTGAACCATCACTTGCTGTCAAACTCAAACTGCATTAGCCGTTTAACCTCAGGGGTCAGCAGGCTAATGTTATAATGTCATCGCCTCCAGCGCTTCCTTCAGTTTTACACTCATATGCAGTCAGTGTGTAAACTGCTGCGGTTTAATACATGCTGTGTACGGAGTTTCCACATTTCATAATGCCGGAAAGGATTAGGATGGAATAATGTGAGTTCAGTTCTTCAGGATCAGCATGTCAGCAGATGTACAGTTACAGTAGTGATGCTCAACTCAAATGTGTTCATTTACACACTCGTCTACAGCACTAAAGTAGGCTGATTTGGGACCAGCATTTGATCATGTTCTTGAATAACATTGAGGCTGCTGTATTAATGTTTAACAGATCTCTAAAAGTTGTATTCTAGAAATAAAAATGCACTGGTTTTATGGTTATATTGTTATAATACAACAGAACAGTTCACGACACCAGCACAGGCCAGTGCTTCAGTTTCCCAAAACCCACCGACATCACTTCTTGTTAGTATGACGTGCTTCCCATGATGCTTAACTGTGTCCTCCTGCTGTTCGCAGACGAGCCGAAGAGGTTCCAGGTGATGGTTCACGGGATCGAGCCGCTCCTGGAGACGCCGGTGCAGTGGCTGAGCGAACACCTGAGCCATCCGGACAACTTCCTGCACATCAGCGTCATCCCGGCGCCCAGCGACTGACACACACACACACACACACACACACTCCTGATCTCTCATCGAGAAGCCTTACTGAGAGACGATGCTCATCCCACATTAACTCTCTCGAATCCCTCTAACACACGCTTACACTCGCTCATCTGTGATTGGTGTTCAGCGGCGGGACGAGAACAGAACAGGAGACTTCAGATAAACGTGACGGGGAGATGTGTGTGTGTGTGTTTCAGTTACTGTAGCTCTCGCTCACACACTTTCCTTTAATTATCTGGGAATAATCTGGTTTTCCTTCGTTTAGAGACTAATATTGTAAATCAGAACAAGCACATCCACATATCACACAGTTTCTGAGGAACCTTACAGTAATTCATTTCTCTTCTTCTCTGAGCGTTCATTTACCCCCTGCCTGTGTGTGTGTGTGTGTGTGTGGGGGGGACTGTAGACGACACACAGCTGACTCTCATTATTGGTGTGTAGGAATCGGTGAGTGTTTTCCCCGGAGCGACACACACACACACACCGCAGAGCTTACGCCACTTCTCGGCAGACTCTTCTACACACAGAGGCGTTTGTGTACACACTCTCAGATGTTTAGATCATTCCTCGTATAATCACTGAAATGAAGATGTGCCGCCCGTCTCTAATAACACGCTTCAGTCACAACAGTTCAAATGTGCCGGATTGATTTCTGTCTTTGCTAGATTCATTTAAAATGCAATTAATTAAAATGCAACTATTTTATAACTATGAAGTGTTTCTGTGTTTATTAATCATAAACTCTGTTCACACACTGAGACTCGCATGAGATATGAAGCCCAACATCCATGATGAACGTTTCAGAAATCATCTTCACATGATCTCAGTGTGTGTGACAGTCAAACCAACAAATAATAATAGAAAAAAATCAAAACAAGACCTGATATAAATTCATGTACAGGCAAATAAAACATGATTCAGACACAGATATGATTTTTGAAATTGTTCCACTAGTGTGATCAGGACACTACAGTTCAGTTCTGTGAGTGAGGAGAGCAAAATAAAGACATATTACACCCAATAACTCTTCATACAGAGACTACCGGTGACATTTACACACATCTGGGGCCAAATATTATTAATTCACTTTGAGCTGATGATGTTTTGCTGAAGTGTGTTTTCTGTAATTACACACACACTGAACAACATGAAGCATTGCTTGGTCACTGGTTGAGCTAAACTGGTTTTATCTAATTGTGTAGTTCAATTGAACAGAAATTCAACATAACTCATGTGTGAGAGTCCATCAGAAGGACAAAACCAGTCAAATATCCACTGATCTGAGACCTGAGTTCTGCTCATGTTTATAAACTAGAGCCAATAAACTCAGATAATGCGAGAAATGCTGAAGGTGTCTGAGTAACTTCACCAATTCACCAAATGAATGTTATTGGTCTTGTGAACAATTCATCCATGCTTGTCTCCTTTAAAAAAAGAAGGCTTTTAACTTGTTAAAATATCATAATTCTAATCTTGTGGTGAAATGACGGCCTCAAATGATCGACAGCAAACTCTCCTTCAGATCAGCCTCCGTCTCGTACACTGTGTCCTGTTCAATCGTGGCTCACTCAGACGTGTGTTACAATACACAATAAAACATCATTTCTACTTCAGTTTCATCACAACCTTCATTAACTCTACAGTAATTCTCTGTTTTCATCAACCCTTTTTAAAAGAAACTTGTATTTTCATACTGTGAAGAATATTAAAAAAAATCTATAGAACATTTATTTCACTATAAAGAACGTTTTTGTGCAATGGAAAGATTTCATAGTTGTTAAAGACGTTCATTGATTCCCATAAAGAAACTTTATTTTTAATACGACACCCATATTTCATATTTAGTTTGATAATGTTTTTTATTTAATATTTTTCGGGAATTTTATGGAACTCAATTATATTTTCGCTGTATTTATAATCCATTTATTCTCTTTTTGAGCATAGACCTGAACATTTAATTCCCAGCTTAAACTGGTGAATCTCGAGCGCTTTAAAGCACAGACTGGAGTTTGATCTCTTCTTTAAAAAAGCGAGAGAAAAAAACTTAATTTTAAAAACTTTAATTTTTTTTTTTTACAGAATTTTAAGTTTGTTATGAAAAATGGGAAAATTACTGTTTTCAATTTTTACATGAAATATATTCTCACAAAAAATGTTTTAATCTAAAACTGTAAGAAAATCATAAATGTAAAGAAGTGTGTGTTTCGCATGTGAGCTGATCTCTCAGTAAATGAGTGTGTGTTCGGTTGCAGTACCGAACGCTTCCACTAGAGGAAACTCGTCTTTGAATTTTTGACCATGAAACAGAAAAAGTGTGACTATTTTTTTTTTTCAGGACGATTTGGACGTGTGCGTGTGTGTGTGTGTGTGTGAGAGTGGTCTTCGTACGGGAAGACGGGTGGGAGGCGTAGAGAACATCAAAGTGAAGCCCCGTTCTCTTCATGTGTTCATTAAATAAAGAGCTGTCCGAGACTCACTGATTCCTGTAAACCCGTCACTTAAAGATCACAGGAGCCACTCCACTCCTCTGTCATTCTCCTCAGACATTAGTTCTGTCGTAAGAGCAGTAAAAACGGCTTTTCTTCAGCTATGTCCTGCATCTCGCGGTTTCCTCCATGGGAAGTTGCTCGAGTCCGGACTCTCTTTGAAGTGCAGTTAATGAGGTTCATGTCTCTCGTACGGGTCTGGATGCACATTACTCTCGTGTCCTGCACTCCCTGCGCCGGCTGATTGGGATATAACAGTAAAACTCAAGGCCATAACTCTGTTGAGTTATACGAGGTGTCCGAAGACAACTTTCCCTCTGTCGGGTGGGAACACCTGGAGCTGAGAGGAGAGGAGGATCCTGAGGAACACACACTACTCTCTCTTCTCATCTTCCTCAGACCTGTCATTAACCCGGGCCCTAATGGACAGGTGCTGAGGGACCCCGGGTCTGGCTCATGACGACGATGACATCATTCTTTCAGTTTGTGTTTCCTTTCCATTTTCTTTCTTTAAAAAACAAACAAAAAAAGTTTTATACTTTGATTCACTTCGTCCTCTTTCCTTCCTTTTTCCTGTTTCCTTCATTTGTTTCCTCAGGAGGAGTGAGCGGGAACACACTAACACAGCTTGTCACACACTAGTTTAAGTACTCACACACATGCTAGGATGACGACACTTAGTGTATTGACTATCAACACTATACTTTATAGAGAAAAAAATACACCAAAATTAAACAAATCTTTGGAAGATATCACTGAACATTTATTTAACCATTGCAAAAGTAAATTATGTATTTGCTTTTTTAAAATGATTAGATTAATCTGATATTATTTTTATTCTAATATCTGTAATATCTGTAATTTAACAGTTGAGATGCTGATCTAACAGCAGAAACACTCACCAGGTTTAAATACAAGCCTAAGTTTACTGATTCGCTGATGTTATTCTACGTTTGTTGTTGTACGCATCGCGGCCGCTCAGAAATGAAATGTCCGATGTTGTTAAAGGGTTAATGCTTTACCTCAATAAGACTAAACCTAACCATTACTGTCTATTTTCTAATATTATGAATTTTGATGATTTCCTTATAAATATGGTTATCTCAGGTGGACACCCAACTCAATAGCCTATGATATTTAAAATTTGAATGATGTCAACATGGAAAAGTCAGTCAGCGGTTTATTATCATGTTAATGTGCCTTTAAGGCCCGTTTACACCATAACGATAAACATAATGACTATAAACCATATTAGCGTCCACACCAGCGATATCGTTCCGTTTTTTTCTAAGCGCGTGCTCGTCTGGCGCTAATATTAATTATTAACGGGAGCTTTTTTCTGTCCGCGATCGCGCCAAACTTCCACGAGCGTCATCATAAAACGCGGTCATTAAGAAAAGTGCTGAGCTGGATTTACTGTGCAGTCTGGTGATTTAGAAGAGAATAAAGTTAAAAACGCTTTAGCTCCGATGGACTCGAACAGAAGCAGCCGTGAGATGAGATGTGGTTTGAACTGGCATCTTGTTTGGACTCCTCGAGTGTGTGTGTACAGTCTCTCAGTCTCAGGTGAGCGAACACACGTGCAAATACAGGCCTGGGGGTGTACAGATCATGCACTGTGGTAATAATGTCAGAGCAATAACATTGGATTGTGGAGTAACCGTGTGAGATTAAGTATTTATTTACCAATAATCTGCCTGTGTAGACATGTAGAAAGAGGTGTGTTTTTCCAATGAGCCTGTGACTTGTGTTTATATTCGGTTAAACAATATGACCAGATTTGCTGTTCTGTCCATTCACTGCTCTGAGAACACAATTGTTTAGAAACTTTCCCTTTTAGCGTCAGTTATTCCGACATCTTCATCATCATCATCATCATCACAGCGGGAAACAGAGCCAATTATCAAGTATAATCCACATGCTCACATGGGTCCCATAAATGTACAGTTTTTGTTAGAGCTGAAAGGGATTCCAGTTGATGTAGTCAGTGTTCTGAGAACTGGTTTAGGAAGAGTGTGTTGCCACATCTGTTTAACAGTCACAACCCGTCTAGACATTCAGTTCTGACGAGTTTCACTGCGAACATTTGATCAGCATTTCACCTAAACACTTCAAACCAACCCCCCAAAAAACATCCAAACACTAATAATGCAGAGAACAGGTTTGGTTTGAAGTGTTTCGGCGGCTTCAGGAAATGATTTTCATTTAAAATAAGAACATCTTGAACTGGACCTCTGAACTTCTATATCATATGTGAGGATCTTAAACTACTGAGATGTCATAGTTAGTTGGATGGCACCCCAGATAGTCCATAAAAGTCCCCGTTGTGGTCACAATACTGCACACGAGATTTGGATGTTTTTGTGCAATGATAGTAATAGTTTTGCATATGTTCATTATTATCGTTGGATAGTGTGATGTATTTACAGGCCTGTTGTGGTGGCATTATAACAGCGTCATGATTTCTGTGGAGTTTGACACATTGGCGGATTCTTCTGTCTGTTGAGTCATCATGGGAAATGTGTGTGAAGCGTCTCGTAATTGTGGGGTTGCTAACTTTTACCCTGGAGCTGCTCGCTATCGTTTTTAATGCACTGGTAACGGTAGTTTGCTGTATTTTGAAGCACCTACAGGTACGAACCAGATCCCTTTCATAGTTTCTAAATTGAATTTATTTTTGGCTGTTTTTCTGCTGTATTTAATAAATTTTTTTGCACATTTGTTTTTTATCTGAAAAACAAAAAAGTCATCATGATAACTCACAAAAACTCTTTAAGGATTAAAAATAGCAGAAAATATATCTCAATGCTTTTGCCTTTTCTCACTAAAGTTTGGCATTCAATGAGAAACTTAGCATTCGCTTGCAACGATTCTGCAAACTTTTTGTTCATCACTATCCCTAGAGGCTCCATCTTAGACCTTTCTCTCAGAATCCGCTTTGCATCAAGAATCAGACACATTTTCCAGTTTCACGCAAATGTTAAGTTTCTAAATTGAATTTATTTATGGCTGTTTTTAAATATTTTGCATTTTTGAACAGTTTTTATCTGAAAAACAAAAGTCGTCATAATGCAAAAATTATTTTTTTCTCAATGCTTGTGCCTTTTCTCACTAAAGTTTTGCATTCCCACGTTCGCTCGCAAAGATTTTGCCAAGTTTCTCGGGAGAAACCGAAACATTTGACATATTTTAGAGAAATTGTTTTCATCACTCTCCCTTTAGTGGCTCCACCAGAAGACCTTCGTCTCAGAATCAACTTTCAGAATCAATTTTCCAGTTTCACGCGATGTTTATGAAAGTGAGCGGTCAGTTTTAGTGCCACATGACGAGAATAAAATCAAAACCTTGTACCCTATATATAATGAAAGAGCACACAAGTGACAAAAATGCATTAGATCAGTGAAGATTTATATTATAATTTACATTTTGTCAAAGCTGTACTTAAATAGCTACGTAAACCAGTATGTAAACAAACACAGTCTTTTTCTTTCATTTAAAGCTGAAGTTGAGGTGTAGACTTTGGTCATACTTTAGGGACTGTGAGATACTACCTCACAGCACATTGCTCCTGCTAATACAGAATCATATTAAAAACAAAGGGAAAAGTACAAACACAAGAAGAAAGACGAAGAGCCAGTGCATACGAAGGCCGAGGTGATCGCCACCACTGACCTCAGAACAGACAGTCGCAGCAGCTCACACTGCGTCCGCACATCTCTGAAGAGTTCACTTTGGTTATCGTTCACACATTCTCGTTTCTTTATCGCTTTTGGTTTCAGTGATGTGCCACACATAAGGAAGAAAACGCAGTGTCGACCTCACAGACTGCACACTGCGACTAAACATCACATATAGCTCTCAGTACAAGCACACACACGCACACACACTCCCACATCTGAGGTAACAGTTGTTAATATATAATATGCCCTTTTTTGCATTCATTATATTGTGTAGAGCTCAACATTAAGAGAATACATGTTTTGTAAAACACGTACACAGATATGTAACCTTTCCTAGAGTTAAAAAAAAGTCTTTCTCTGACTTCAGCCCACATTAAAAAATCGACCTGAATGTGGGAAGCTCTTTGCAGTCGCGCATGAAATCACAGTCAACCGGGACACTATTTACAGGAACCAGAAGATAGTAGAAGAAAATATATAAAACAGTAAATTACAATGAGTCATTGTAAACATCATTTTGGTTGTGAAGAATGACGCGTCGAACAATAAATTAAATAGATTACGTAACAAACTTAAAATGAACACCAAGAAGAGCAAATAATAATAATAATAATAAAAAAAGATATGATTGTCTTTATCATTTGTGTAGGACATACTGGAGCACTGATGGACTGGATCAATGTCTGTTAGCCCTGAGTACTGAAGTCCCTGAACTTAAAGGGATAGTTCATCCAAAAATGAACATTAGCCCATGATTTACTCGACCTCAAGCCATCCTAGGTGTGTATGACACTCTTCTTTCAGACAAACACAATCGGAGTTATATTAAAATAACTAGCTTCCGGGAGTCGACTTACGCCACGAGTAACACTTGATGATTGATGAGAATGTCACACACACCTTTAGAGTGAGTAAATCATGGGCTAATTTTCATTTTTGGGTGAACTATCCCTTTAAAGGCCTGATTCTTTGAGAAGAATTGTGTGTTCTTGTCCAAAGTGTCTCGTCGGCTAGGTTTCCATGGCCTCCTCTGTCTCCTTTTTAACCGTGATGGGTAGGAGTTGAATAGGGCTGCTGCAATGAACCTTGATGACCGACGCCTCACTTCCGTGTTCGCTCAGACGATACGGTGTCGACGGGTGCCGGTCTCCGCTAGTGCTAACCGTGTGATACGACGCCTTAAAATCCATCTCTTGCCAGAGCAAACCGAAGATCTGTTTCTCCACCATGCCGTCCACGTCAAACCCCTCCATCTCTTCCAGCCGGTCTGCGTTATCGCTGATGTCGAAGCGTTCGATCTCCTCGTTGACGCGGTTGAGTTCGTCGAGGCTGCAGCTGGGAGGAGGGATGAGCGCTAGGCAATAGCCTTTGAGATGGAGCCGGAGACTGTTGAGGTGGATGTAGTTGCGGTGGCAGTGCGGGCATTGGTGTGGTCGCTCTCGTGTGTGTAGCCGTTTGTGCAGCTTGAGGTGGACGAACTGTGTAAACTTGGCTGGGCAGATCTTGCACTGGTAGGGCTTTTCCCCAGAATGCAACCGCAAATGTGTCTTCAAGTTGCTCGTGCTGCTGAAACGCTTGTGACACACCTGTGAAGGTCAAAGCAGAGTTTTAGGATCTCGCTCTCATCTGTGCTGAGAACTTGGTCAAAACTAAATGTATTCAGACACCTTCAACATTTCTCACGTTATCACACGTTATTTATTTGCTATAAATATGAGCAGAACTCAGTGATCAGTGGATATTTGACTGGTTTTGTCCGTCTCACACATGAATTATGTTGAATATCTGTCAGCTGTTAAAAATCTAACTACACAATTAGATAATACCAGTTTATTACAGAAAACAAAAGTCAAAGTGTCTGAATAATTTTTGGATTTGACTGTACATTATATTTCATATTATGTTAATTGTACCTGGCACTCATGGGGTTTCTCTCCGGTGTGCACCAGAAAGTGTTTCTGCAGATGAGCCAGCTGGGTGAAACCTTTATTACAGGTCTGACACTTAAAGGGTCGTTCGCCACTATGGACACGCAGGTGAACCTGAAAATAAAGATAGCTTAGATAGGCACTAGGGTTGGGAATCGAATCAAATTGAAATCCAATTCTGGAATCAAATACTTGAGGTCAGGAATCGGATACTTGTTTTAACAATAACATTTTCATTCCTCTTATCGATTCCTGTGTTTACTTGACTTTAATACCGCTTTAAATGTATATTAGTTAGACTAGTTGTTTTTCTGTTATTTTTAAACTGCAGGCAAAGTGTTCGTTAGCCTGTTGATTTTTGTTCATGATCTTCAGCTAAAATTAAATGTTTTGCAACAAGACTAAAGGTGAATGACATCAAAGTTTTTTATACCTTTTATATCGAAATTGGGAATCGATAAGAATCACGATCGAATTGTTAAAATTCAAATGATACACATCTCTATTAGCACTACGAGGAGCATTTCAAATATAGCACACAGAGAGACGGTACTCTTGCTTACCTTGAGATTGGAAAGTTGACCGAAAGTCTTGGTGCAAACATTGCACTCGTACTTGATCTTCCCGTTCTGCTTCTTGAGTGGATAATCGAGACTTTTGTAGCCTGCGGAGCCTCGTTTCATCTTGCTGAGATTGATGGCCTCGTCCTCTGTGCGGCTGGTGCTCAGAACGGCTGAGGTAGGCTTGGTAGGAACGCGTCCCGTAGAGGCTCCCGAACCGGCTGTTGGAGACCCGCCGGCAGGGGCGTAGTGGTGCCCGTGCCCGTGGATGATGGGTTTGTCTTTCAGAGAAGTGGCTGCGGAAAAGGCACTGGTGGCCGCTGGTAGAAGGAGATCCCTGTGAGCCGGAGAGTCAGGGGGAAGCAGGAATTGTCGACCGCCCTCGGATGGAAGCATTCCGGGTGGGAAGGGTACGTGAGGGGGGATCAGGCTGCTGTAAAATGGGTACATGTGTGGAAACATACCCCCTAGGGTTGGTGGCCCACTCAAACTACTAACAGGGTAGTGGGGCATGAGGTAGCGCGAGTAGTGCGGGTTCGGGTAGAATGGCATTGAGCCGGCCGGTGAGTAGCCATGGTAGTGGTTCAGGCCTCGACTGAACAGTGCTGGAGAGAAGGAGAGAAGAGTGTCTCGTGGCTCAAGGGATGCTGGTGCAGGACTGCTTTCTGGACTTCTCTCGGGACTGCTGTGTGCGGAAGGGCTGGGCGTCGCTGAAAACTGTCTGTGGGAGCGTGTCGGGTGGCCAAACACTGTGGTGCTCTTTAAAATGTCCTCGTTTAGGGAAGGGCGGGGCGGATAGACGGGACTGGGGTAGAGAGGTCGGTCTGGGGTGTTTGGGCAACGAGGACGGGTGGGAAGAGGTCTGCTAGGTTCTTGCAGAACGTCTTTCAAGATCTCTGAAACGCTGTGCTCTCTTTTCACCGGGTGCTTGACTTCGGTCGCTTGCTGCTTGGCTTCAATCAGGCTCTGCTCTGTTCACACACAATAAAACAATGTCAATAATTTTCTCACATAACCTACAGACTTCTTTACCTAGTCAATCCTGAAGTTTTCAAAAATGTACCTCTACTTTGTGGTATGTTTTACACATATTACTTGTCAACGAGGTTGAGAAACAAGTTCAATCCAGTTATGGTTATTTTGAGGGACACAGCAGCTCCATTGTCCCAGAGCACATAGCTCTTCTTAAACCAAATTTCAACAAAGCACCCCCAGTGGTTCACTTAGTGTGACAGTTTGACAAATTGTCTGGTGTTAGGGTCTACAGGATGTGAGCCTGACAGCGCCCCGGTCAGGGTGGGATGGATGCACTGATACTATCTAATGGGGTTCACTGAGTGGGTGTGGGGGGACGGATGGCGTCCTGCTAATAGGGATCTACATGTCTAGATCTCTCCCTTGTAGAGTCTACAGAGACCGGATATTATTTAGTGATCGATCTTTCATGAGCTCCCAAATTTCTGCACAACCTCAAACTTAAAAGCTTGCACAGAATTCACATTAAACAAAGTCAAATGTTTGGGCTAAATAGACCCATTATAAACCACCCGGACTCTTCCACACACCCACATTTAATGAAAGGTGGAAAGCTAATTAGAAAATGACTTTCCCATACGTTTTAAATACTTATCTCCTTTAAAAGGATGTAAACAATTAAATAACTTCCTGCTTCCTGTCCACTGAACATTCACAGAGTTAATTGTGTCGAATTCAAGTGTGAATATGACTGTGTGCGTCCCTTAAAAGATGTACCGTGCTCTCGACTCCCCTATCCTTCTGTCCCGGCAGCTACGTGTAAACAAACCGAGAGGTTATCAGTTCTCCCCTCCCACCTCTCTTCCACAGATAGCACCAGTTCTGTTCCTCCCTAGAGAGCTTGCCAAAAACAAACAGCCGGCGATCACAGAGATATCAATCTGTCAGCACAGCCCTGCCGCCAGGAAGTTCAACTAGTCAATGGAGATGTTTTTTTTCTGCTCTTGCACACGCTCTTACTAGTCTCTCCTTACTCTTAAAGTGGCAAGCAAATGAAAAAGTTCCTCCCACACCTCCTGAGGCAGGACGGTAGGAATGAAGGCACTTAAGATACACGTTGGCTGAATGCTCTGTCGTTTTACACCAGACAGGGCCAGGGAAATAGAAAGTCAACGTCTAAATCAGTTTCATGTGGGAGGTTGTGTCAGTCAGATCACCCCGTTCTGTAAGACTGAGTCACACTAGGTTTCACTGCTGTTCAGCTTTGAGATCCAGGGGCTATTATTCCCTCTTCAGGCTGCAGGTATGAGGGAGTAGGTGTAATTACAGACTCGTCTATGTGTGTGTGTGTGTGTGTGTGTGTGTGTTGAGCTCAAGGGGTCGGCTACATCCAGTGGCCCCGGGGTATGCGCATGACTCTGGGGAGAGGAGTCACACTGACTGGCCTGTTCACCTAACTATAATCTCCCCCTGTCCTCCGTATCAATCTTTTCTTCTGTCTCATCCTTTCAGCTTTGAGGACTTTTATTGCCGGTTTATTATGTTGGGCAAAACAAACCTTAGCCAGCGCTTTCATGTTTAAAGAACATCCTCAAACACCAGTGGCTGGAGCATTACTCTCCTATTCTTTGTAATTAGTCTGAAGGAAAACATTGTTGGGGAAGAAAGCAGAGAAATCGAGTGGTTCAAAGAATTCCGATCCTAACGCAGATGAAAGAGAAGACGCTGGTGTGTTTGCACAATGGTCTATCTGTAAAGTGGGAAGGGACGTTTTCCTTGACTCAAACTGAGATAACGAGGAACCAGGGGTCTCATCTATAAAATGTTTAGGATCCTTACTAAATACTATGTGCGCCCGAAAGGTAAAACTTTTTTAGTCTAAAAATATTTAGACTTAAAAAAGCGTGCGAATGCCAGAACCTGCACAAAAGCCCCTTTATAAGCCCCAGTCAGAGGAAGATTGTGCACATGCGTCACCACCTCGAAATAACCATATATGAGCTGACAACGCCTGATTTTACTATGCATATCCTTTCATTTGCAAATCGAATCCATGTTTAACGGTATACAAGCCATTAGGAAATATGAGAAACGGATTTGCATCACGTTACGTTGCTAAATTAATTTTGTAGCCTATCCTTGGCTTTTTAAAAATTAAATAAACAATATTTTTAATTGCTTTATATTTTGAATGGAAACAGAAAGGCCTTATTGTGCACAATTGATTGTGCATTATTTGCGTGAAATTATTACTAACCCTGCTATTATTAACATGTGCTGAGCAATCTTCGCTGTAGTTAAAACATTAAAACACGGGAAAAGTGTTCAAAAGCATCACATCCACTCCAAATATTCCTATTTATTAGAAAATGTTTAACTTCTCGGAAATGTAATTTAAGTGCTTAACTCCATTAATGAGAATGGCATATTTAATCTAAAAAATTTTTTCATGTATTTAAACTGTTATTGTGAACAGGCACTGTATTTATGATTAGGACTATTAATGAATATCAAAGTGTTTTTTCTTCATTAGTCCCTCGGATCATCATCGGTGTCGTTAAACTTCTCCGTCTCTAATGTTCATCATGGATAAACGTTTGCAAAAAAAATGTTCTGCCAACTTTGTTTTTAGTAATCACAACTTATGTCTAAGTTGTTGGCGTACGTCTCTTTCAGGGCCTGTTTTGTGTGACGCAACAGTTATAAATGAGACCCCAGGACAAACAAAGAGAAGCTGTTTGCGTGAACTTACTGAGTTTTTGCATCATAATCTCTCCAGAGGCAGGGTAGTTAAGGCGGCGAGCAAACTCGGGGCAGTACCACACCAGAAGCTCCTGGTCTGCAGGAATGGCCTTGACGGTGTAGAAATAGATGCTCATCCCGTTTTGGCAGGCGGCAAGGTTCTGCTCCTGCTGGGAATGAGCTGGGTTCACATAACGCATCCAGTTACTCTTCTCCTCGTCCAGTCCGTCCACAAAATGACGGAACTCTCCATTTGAGTATATCTGCAGAACAGAAAGAAGTTTAGACTGAAGATCAGACGCGATTAAAACGTTCTGTTCTCAAGTCCCCCAGTCTGTTTCTCATGTCTATGAACCAAATGAGTGGGATTTGCTCTTATAAAGTCTCACAGTGAGTCAGCAAACACCCCCGCACTAATATTCACAGTCTCTCCAACAGTCCTAGGTCTCGTCTGAGACCTTTGTTAGGGGGGACGCCTGTCTCACTATGAGCTTGCAAGTTCCAGGAACACTTTCAGACGTCACAAACAAGGTTTCCCTCTGAAACGTCAACACCGTTCTTCCTCTTCGGCTTGAGAAGCTCTCACCAGTGACAGTGTAATCACCTGTCTTGCAGCACACGGCTGACAGGAACTGAGGAAAGAGTGATATCAATGCTGTTTCTAGTGGGTAAAGACCAGAGTTGTTCCGCTTGGGGATCTTAGATCTGGCAGCAATATAGAAGTGACAGAAAATAAGACTAGAGCGGGGTGACTTGACACTTTCTGACAGAAAGGAAAGAATGCATAACATGTCCCCAAATCATCACATTGCTGACCTTTTGGGGTTTTACATATCAGGTAGGACCAACGAACCAGTTCATGCTGTCCCTTATTCTAAGAAGAAGTCAAAGGGTGACCGGGCTTTTTCAGTTGTGGTTCCCATGCTGTGGAAGAGTCTCCCCCAAGCCCAAACAATAGAGATTTTAAACTTAGCTTTGAATTAAGGGTATTCTGTTCATTAAAGAAATTGCTTATTTTTATTTAGTTTTTTCTCTCTACACTGATCTCACTATACAGTTGTGTGTCTAAGAGTGTGTAGTCATGCCTTCATTTGCTAGGCTTGGTAAATGTTTTTATGTTTTAATTATAACTGTGAAGCCGTTTCTCTGTTACGACGGCTGCTTGTCATGGACGAGTGAGGGGAATGGCGGTGGCACAACAACTGTGATGCTGACTTTATTCACTGATCAGTGACGCGGACGATCCGTTGAGCTGAAGAAAGACGTATATTTACAGCAGCAGAACTGAAGAGTCATTCAGCACTTCCGGTCCCACACACTGCACAGTCAAATAAAGATGAACGAATCGCTGCACTCTCAGTCAGCGCACTTCCCAAAACAGCAGATCTTTACTCAGCAGTTTCTGATCGCTCACTGCTTCTGTAGCCATCCAGCCCATGATGTCACGCAGGAAGTCAGTCAGTGGAACAGGAAGTGACCCGGTGTTTTTTTTTTTTTTCACTTGTCCGCTCCTACTGTTATTGAAAGCTTCTGAAACAAAACAACTCACCCGCCAGAAGTACTTCCTGTTGGCATCTTTGGGGACATTTTCTGCAGTGTAACTCTCTCCCACAAGGGGGCCGAAGCGTGTGCCTTTGGGGATGTATTCTCTGCTGACTACGCCAATGATCTGGTCAAAAACAAAAGAAGGAAAACAGGTGGTTAAGAAAGAGGTTGATGACCTCACACTCTAAAAAAACCTTGGGATGTTTTTTTTTCTATTCAAATCCTGGTTGAGTTTTTGGTAAATTTTTTAGGTTATTTTTCAGTAGTTTTTGTGTTACCCAGCTCCTGGGTCACATTTAACAACCCTGTGTTTGGGTAGTTTTCTTATTTTACCCAGATCATGGGTTGGACATAACAACCCAGGGGTTGAGTTACATATCTGTGCTTACTACACTAATAACCGGGTCAAAAAATAGCAGGAAAACAGATGGTTGAGAAAGAGGTAGGTGACCTTCACAGTACAGTATCTTAGATTCACGTTCAAATCATTTTCTGATTCATTGCTAGCATCATTATATTAGTGTGTGTGTGTGTGCGAGCGAGAGAGAGAGAGGGGTAATTAATTGGCAGTCAGCCAGATGTGCGCACTTGAAAGACACAGAGCCGTGCGTCTCCTCAGCCGTCAGCTCTCCCGACAGCCACGGGAAGTGAAAGGTCATCAAGGTTGTGTCCTGAGGCTGAGAGAGACGACTCGTTTGTCCCGCTTCACCTCTGATGAACCGCACAGACACTTAGGCTCTCTACACAACACCCAATCGTACAGGTGCCATATATGAATAAAGCCTATTAGAGCAGGCTTTCCAAGTTAAAAAAAAAAATCCCCAAAAATTACAGTAATAAAATGGTTGTCAGAAATACGGTAGCTAACTTAAATTTACTGTAAATAACTGTATTTCATAAACTGATATAATGTTAATTTATCAACTAATATCTGTTTTGTACCATTGTAATACACTGACATCCACCAATTACAGTGGTAATGATCAACCAAAGCTCATCGCGTCATTCACACTAAACACCATCATGGGAACACGCAAGGCATGAAATTTAAAAATGCAATAAACATTAATTTAACAACATTAAATATAACATTCAACTGATTAGAAAAAAATAATAGGGTTTTCACTGTAAATTGTACAATTACTTGTTCCTTTTCGCATCCAAATATCGTTTCTCGTTAAAATCACAATCTTTTTTTTTTTGATACTTTAAATCCTTTAGTGTGGATCTGCGCCTGCTTCACCTCCTCACCCGACTCCTCTAAAGAGCGATTACAAGCGCTCATTAAACGCAGTCTCTCATCAGCGTAATCTCCCACATGACTCCACTCACTCCCGTTTGAACCTCAGGTGTTTCTGGAGGAAACAGGGCTCGCTCTTTATCAGCTCATAAGGACGTGCTCACAGGCAGAGATAACACAGACAGAGCAATTGATGAAAAAATCCATAACCCTGTTCCTGTTGATCTACAAACACTTTGAAAAGAAGAGGCTTAATCCCATTGGAAGCGTCAGCCGTCATTAGCGCAGGAAAGGTGGAAAGTAGTTGTTTGTGGATTGCTGGGGACACAGACGTGCAGATAAAGCCGGTTTGATAGATGGCGACAGATCTCGCCTCTCAACTTTTGCACTCGAGGAGCTTGTCATGCGGCGCGCTGATCTATGGCTGTTTGTGTTAGCCGAGCGACAATGCCAGTTAGAAATTATTAAGCACACACACAGACATAGACAGGGAGTGTTTTTCTTTTTCTCTGACAGTGCAGATAAAGAAGATTAATACCAGTTGTGTGATCAGTAGGTGTGGCTTTATGGAGATGCCGTTCAAACAAAAAATCACAACCACTCAAAGTTCCTGCAGTTTGATAACACGACGCTCTCTCCGTTTGCTTGTGTTATTAGCAGGTTTGATGGGCCTGATTTCTGAGAGCAAGCCTGGAGGCCTGGAGTGTGTGTTTGCGGAGCCATTCCTCTGTGGCGTGAGTGTGTGTTGCGGAGCCGTGAGTGTGTGTTGCGGAGCCCTGAGTGTGTGTGCGGAGCCTTAAGTGTGTGTGTGGAGCCGTACCTCTGTGGCGTGAGTGTGTGTGGAGCCGTGAGTGTGTGTTGAGGAGCTGTACGTCAGTCGCGTAAGTGTGTTGCGGAGCCGTGAGTGTGTGTTGCGGAGCCCTGAGTGTGTGTTGCGGAGCCCTGAGTGTGTGTTGCGGAGCCGTGAGTGTGTGTTGCGGAGCCCTGAGTGTGTGTTGCGGAGCCCTGAGTGTGTGTTGCGGAGCCGTGAGTGTGTGTTGCGGAGCCCTGAGTGTGTGTTGCGGAGCCCTGAGTGTGTGTGTGGAGCCGTGAGTTTGTGTTGCGGAGCCGTGAGTGTGTGTGCGGAGCCCTGAGTGTGTGTGTGTGTGTGTGGAGCTGTGAGTGTGTGTATGGATCCGTACCTTTGTGGCGTGAGTGTGTGTTGCGGAGCTGTACATCTGTCGCGTGAGTGTGTCGCGGAGCCGTGAGTGTGTGTCGCGGAGCCGTACCTCTGTGGCGTGAGTGTGTTGCGGAGCCGTGAGTGTGTGTTGCGGAGCCGTGAGTGTGTGTTGCGGAGCCGTACCTCTGTGGCGTGAGTGTGTTGCGGAGCCGTGAGTGTGTGTCGCGGAGCCGTGAGTGTGTGTTGCGGAGCCGTGAGTGTGTGTTGCGGAGCCGTACCTCTGTGGCGTGAGTGTGTTGCGGAGCCGTGAGTGTGTGTCGCGGAGCCGTGAGTGTGTGTTGCGGAGCCGTGAGTGTGTGTTGCGGAGCCGTACCTCTGTGGCGTGAGTGTGTTGCGGAGCCGTGAGTGTGTGTCGCGGAGCCGTGAGTGTGTGTTGCGGAGCCGTGAGTGTGTGTTGCGGAGCCGTACCTCTGTGGCGTGCGGCGGGTGTTTGAAGGCCAGGTTCCTGGGCAGCGACGCCTCGGCCCGTGTGCCCTCCGCCGGACCCTCCCAGGTGTGGTCCTTCACCACGTACGTGCATTTCTCCTCAAACTCTTCCTCCGTCCACTTTGTCATGTCTGCATCCTCCACGTCCATCTTGAGCTCCTCATTGTCGGCGGTGTAGGGCGCTCCCTCAGTAGTCAACATTGCTGAGCTGTGATGAGAAGCAGCCTGAGGAACAGAAGGAGTCAGACGTGTTGACGTGTGTGTGTGTGTGTGTGAGCTAAACATTATCTAGGGAAAGGGCAAAGGTTGAACTACATGAATGCTTTTTTTCTATGAAACATTTATGATGCACAAATATTGTTTAATAGCAAGAAATTAATTTGAAATTTCGTTTTTGCCTGAATTAGATCTCGGGTGTTTAACGAGGAGGATTTTTAGGGAACACTTCACTTCATCCTCTGGTGCTGTTCAGCCATTCAAACATTACATTCTCAAACTTTTTTAAGTTCTCTTTTTAAAACTGTTTTCACTTCAGCAATAATCTGCCGAGCGTCGTCTTTAAGAAGAGATCAAACTCCAGTCTGTGCTTTAAAGCGCTCGAGATTCACCAGTTTAAGCTGGGAATTAAATGTTCAGGTCTATATGCTCAAAAAGAGAATAAATGGATTATAAATACAGCCAAAATTTAATTTAGTTCCATAAAATCCCCTAAAAATACTAAATATTAAATAAAACTACATTTTTAAACTAAGATATAGTACATTAGTTTCATTGAAAAAAAAAAAAATTCAATCATTTCTCCACGCGAGGGTTCAAGCCTTTAAATATAATGCATTTAATTATGAACGTTATAATTCATCATATGGTCTCATGAATAATTGTAACCGCAGTTACAATACTAGAAAGTGTAATCTATGAAAACACATGATAAACAACACACTTCAGATGTAAAAAGAAATCTGCAAATAATATTATGACGCATTTTAACTTTGCCCACAACCATTCATGAAATAATATAATGCAATATGAAAACTTGCATAAAGTGTTATACAGAAAGTGTTACCAAATTGTGTTTCAACACAGAGAGCTAAAGTGTTCCTCAAAGTAAATAAAAGACATCCTGAGCTGAACTGATCCCGATCTCTCCTCTAGTGTCCTACTCTTCACTTCTGTCCATCATCCCTCGCTCTCTCGCTCTCCCTGTTTCTTCCCGGAGGGAAAAAATAGCCACAAATGGAGGAAAACAGAGGAAGGAAGTCCCGTCTACTTCTGAATGTGGCTAAATGTGGAATCAGAGGAACCATCAATCCGTCCCAGAGATTGTGTGTGAGTGTGTGTGAGAGAAACAAAAGAGGAGAAATGTTTTTCCAGTGGGACGCAAAGTGATTCAATCAATCTCCAACCAACACTCGAGCCGAAACACGGCGAATCCTCCACCAAAACTCGGACAATGCTGTTTAAATATGTTTATTAAAAGTGAACTTTTTTCGTTCCTAACCCATCCTAAACTACAAATGTTCACAGTTCTAGAATTTGTATAAAATGTTAAAGTTCTCTGAATTAGTCAAATTTCTTGTTTCAGAACAGACAGCAACTTCTAAAGTAAAAAGTTGATTAGTGGATATGTTGTTGTAGTTGAGCTTTATCTAATATACTAGTATTTTGTACTTTTTTTTATTATTCGAGAGAAGTTCAGAAAACAGTTTTCTTTAGTTTTTTTGTTAGAAAGTGTTGTGCGTAGGACAGCTGGAGAACCAAAACTCATAGTGAAACTGAAAAACTCAACATTAACAAACATGGAAATCAGATGCACACTAAATATAAAGACATATATATCTAAAACAACACTTTTAGGTGAAATCATTAAAAAACATTTAGTTGAAAAAAATTATATATATATATATATATATATATATATATATATATATGCATCCAGCCAATAAATACAGGAGATAAGAATTGTTCTAAATGAATTAAAATAAATAGAAATGACTTCACTCTCATAGCCGAGAACCAAAAAATAAAAAGAACTATTAAGCCCCAATAAAACAGTTCACAAGCCTCACAACAAACAATCACACCGCATATAATTAACAACCTCTAATCAAGCTTTAAACATTCAATTAATGAACTAATAGATACAGTTGATTGTAATGTAAAACGCATTCTTGTCTTGCCACAGAAATGAGTTTAGAGAAATGTCACTTACCAGGACGCCTTGGTCCCAGCCACACATAGAGGCTGTGAGTGATCTCTCCCCTGAGTGTGTGTGTGTGTGTGTGAGTGTGTGTGGGACAGGTGCAGCTCAGTTCTCCAGTCTCGTCCCACTGCTAGTCCAGATGGTAATGACTTCTCCTGCGAGTGCCTGAGATTGACTGACTAACTGAGCATGTTTGTCTGACTTGTTGAAGGCACTTTGGCCCCGCCCATTGACTCCTCCCACAGCAGTGTCACTGACTCCGCCCCCAGAGGACAGGATCTAACAATCACTCCACTGCTGCCACACACACACACACACCTTTTGCTTTTATATGAAGACAGTTATATATATTATAATCTAACCCTTACCTAAACCTAACCTAACACTTTTATTAAAAATTAATTTTTACCTTTAAAAAACAACTATTTATTTTCATGCCATTTTCACAATTGGGACGTCCCCAAGGTTTTGGGACTTTGTCAGGTTTAGGTCACAAGTCCCCAAAATATGGCACGCACACACACACACACACACACACACGTACAGTTTTCATTTGAACACAGTTATAAATATTAAACCCTAACACAAAACTTTCTGCACTTTTACCATAAAAAAAAACATTTTCACAATTGAGGACCCCCTCCCTATAAAACTATAAAAACAGACTTAAGTGCGCTCATAATCCTAAATTTACCTCGTATAAAAATAAATCTGTGCTCATTTTCTTAATTTCTTTTTAAATTCTAGACTCTTGAATCCAAATCGAAAATAGTCTTGTCCGATACTTGGATCGCATGAATGAGGACCCGAGTCAGTGTCGGGGGATTGAGCGCTGCGTCGACACACACACACACACCGCGAGCTGGGCTGCTGCTGTCAGAGGAGAGTGAACATGTTCCAGCGTCTCGCTCTCGTCCTGCGGAGGAAGGATGTCCTGTGACGGAGACTCAGTGACGAAGGCCTTTACTGGGAGATCCTCTTTTACACACGACTCACACTCTTCCCACAACGCTAACACTGTTCAACGCTAACACTGTTCAACGCTAACACTGTTCAACGCTAACACTGTTCAACGCTAACACTGTTCCCACAACGCTAACACTGTTCAACGCTAACACTGTTCCCACAACGCTAACACTGTTCCCACAATGCTAACACTGTTCAACGCTAACACTGTTCAACGCTAACACTGTTCCCACAACGCTAACACTGTTCCCACAATGCTAACGCCGTCCGGTGCGGGACTCATTCCTAAGGGCGCTCCGACTAACCCATACTTTCCATAGACTCGTCTCGATACACACTACCGGGCAAACGTTTTGATCGATGAGATTTATAATGTTTTTAAAAGAAGTCTCTTATGCTCACCAAGGCTATTTATTTAATTAAAAATACAAAAATCAGCAATATTGTGAAATATTACTCCAGGGTGAATCAGCAGTTCTCTATGTGAATATACAGTAAAGTGTGATTTATTCCTGTGATGTTCAACATCATCACATGATCCTTCAGAAATCACTGTAATATGAGGATCTGATGATCAAGACACACTTATGGGTATTATCAGAGTTGAAAACAGTTTTTATATTTTTATTTCAGGATTCTTTGATTAATGGAAAGTTCAAAAGAACAGTATTTATCTGATATAGAAGTTTTTGTAACATTAAACACCACAGTTCAAAAGTTTGGGGTCAGTAAGAATTTTTATTTTATTTTTTGTGGGGGAAATAAATAAAATAAATCAATACTTTTATTCATCAAGAATGAATTAAATTGATCAAAAGTGACAGTGAAGACATCTATAAAAGATTCTATTTTAAATAAATGTTGTTCTTTTGAACTTTCTATTCATCAAAGAAAATGTTCAACATTGCTAATAATCATAAGTGTGTGTTGATCATCAGATCCTCATATTAGAGTGATTTCTGAAGGATCATGTGACACTGAAGACTGGAGTAATGATGCTGAACATCACAGGAATAAATCACACTTTAAAATAGAAAACAGTTATTTATATAGTATTTCACAATATTAGTTATTTTTGTGTTTATATCAAATAAATGCAGCCTTGGTGAGCAGAAGGGACTTTCTAAAACATCATAATCGTGGCGATGCCAGCGCTTGAGCGGCGGTGTGCTCCGGATGTAGATCTCTTGCTGGTTTGGTGAAAGCCTAAGGCCCTCAGCATACACACACACACTCTCAGCTGTGGACGAGAGTTGACCACATCACACACAGCCCACTGCTTCCTGGAGAAGACTCGCCTGATGATTACATTAGCCCAGAACCCCCCGCCGGCCCACAGCTGTCTACACCAGCGCCCGTCCGGACCGCCACCGGACCAATCACTCGCTCGCGCTGATATAGCAGATGATATTCACTAATATGACTCATTTTTCCTCATTTGTTTGCATGATGCTGTTTTCTTGCACCGGCACTATAGCAGACACCGCCAGAAGATGCGCAGAGATCTGGATACATTTTAAAACTGTTCCCGTGTTGTAGTGTGGATGAGGAAGGTATTTAATAAGCGATGATGCAGCTTTAGTCATGTGGTGCGTATTGAACCCATAGGTGTTCATGTTTATACGGTATTGTCCCTGTTATGTGCTGTTCACTTTCACACTGTTGCTGAAATATGTTACTTCACACACTCTTCATATCACAGTCCTGCAACATGACAGAAGATTCGCTCGCACCTGCTGAACACGAGCAGTTTGAGCGTCTTAGACCGAACAGATCACGGTGAGGGAGTGAAAGCTGGTCGATCGGTGAATGATGGGCAAAAAAAAAAGTTTCTCATCCGCACTGAAACGTCAGGGAACGCCTGAAACGCTAGTGTGGACGGAGAACGTTTTTTAAACGAAAGCGTTTTCAGATGTATCCGGAGACGTAGCCTTACATTCCCCTCTGAACAGCTGAAACGGGGACCTGCGGGAGAACAGAGTTTGTCGTCCCCAATAAGATCTGCTTTAAGAGCCTTGAAGCCCATAAAAGGTCTGAAGCCTCCAGGGCTTGATCACACACACACACACACCTTCTCTTTCTCTGGCCGAGTCGAGGCCAGGGGGCAGGGAGGACTCGCAACTCTGAAGTCACATTTAAATGGACCTTTTTACTGTCTATTTAAAGGGTTTAATGTGGCCTGAAAGAACTTCAGCTGAACAATAGCAGGCAGAGGATCATCAACAGCACTGTTAGCTTTACAGAGAACTCATAACATGCCCTCACCACACAGAACAAGAGAAGAGAAGAGGAGAGGAGAGAAGGAGGAGGAGGAAGAGGAGAGGAAGGAGAGAAGAAGTTCTACATATGAACCGCCTGACGGAACCCTTTAAAGTTCTACATATGAAGCGCCTGACGGAACCCTTTTAAAGTTCTACATATGAAGCGCTTGACAGAACCCTTTTAAAGTTCTACATATGAAGCGCCTGATGGAACCCTTTTAAGGTTCTACATATGAAGCGCCTGACGGAACCCTTTTAAAGTTCTACATATGAAGCACCTGACAGAACCCTTTTAAAGTTCTACATATGAAGCGCCTGATGGAACCCTTTTAAAGTTCTACATATGAACTGTCTGACGGAACCTTTAAAGTTCTACATATGAACCACCTGACGGAACCCTTTTAAGGTTCTACATATGAACTGGCTGACGGAACCTTTAAAGTTCTACATATGAACCGTCTGACGGAACCCTTTTAAGGTTCTACATATGAACTGCCTGACGGAACTCTTTTAAAGTTCTACATATGAACCGTCTGACGGAACCTTTAAAGTTCTACGTATGAAGCACCTGATGGAACCCTTTTAAGGTTCTACATATGAACTGCCTGACGGAACTCTTTTAAGGTTCTACATATGAACCGGCTGACGGAACCTTTAAAGGTCTACATATGAACCGTCTGAGGGAACCCTTTAAAGTTCTACATATGAACCGGCTGACGGAACCCTTTTAAAGTTCTACATATGAAGTGCCTGACGGAACCCTTTAAGTTTCTACATATGAAGCGCCTGATGGAACCCTTTAAAGTTCTACATATGAACCGCCTGACGGAACCCTTTAAAGTTCTACATATGAAGCGCCTGACGGAACCCTTTTAAGGTTCTACATATGAACCGCCTGACGGAACCCTTTAAGTTTCTACATATGAAGCGCCTGATGGAACCCTTTAAAGTTCTACATATGAAGCGCCTGACGGAACCCTTTAAAGTTCTACATATGAACTGTCTGACGGAACCCTTTTAAAGTTCTACATATGAAGTGCCTGACGGAAACCTTTTAAGATTCTACATATGAACCGCCTGACGGAACCCTTTAAGTTTCTACATATGAAGCGCCTGATGGAACCCTTTAAAGTTCTACATATGAAGCGCCTGACGGAACCCTTTAAAGTTCTACATATGAAGCGCCTGACGGAACCCTTTAAAGTTCTACATATGAACTGTCTGACGGAACCCTTTTAAAGTTCTACATATGAAGCGCCTGACGGAACCCTTTTAAGGTTCTACATATGAACCGCCTGACAGAACCCTTTAAAGTTCTACATATGAACCGCCTGACGGAACCCTTTAAGTTTCTACATATGAAGCGCCTGATGGAACCCTTTAAAGTTCTACATATGAAGCGCCTGACGGAACCCTTTTAAAGTTCTACATATGAAGCGCCTGACGGAACCCTTTTAAAGTTCTACATATGAAGCGCCTGACGGAACCCTTTTAAAGTTCTACATATGAAGCGCCTGACGGAACCCTTTAAAGTTCTACATATGAACCGCCTGACAGAACCCTTTAAAGTTCTACATATGAAGCGCCTGACAGAACCCTTTAAAGTTCTACATATGAAGCGCCTGATGGAACCCTTTTAAAGTTCTACATATGAAGCGCCTGACGGAACCCTTTAAAGTTCTACATATGAACCGCCTGACAGAACCCTTTAAAGTTCTACATATGAAGCGCCTGATGGAACCCTTTAAAGTTCTACATATGAAGCGCCTGATGGAACCCTTTTAAAGTTCTACATATGAAGCGCCTGACGGAACCCTTTAAAGTTCTACATATGAACCGCCTGACAGAACCCTTTAAAGTTCTACATATGAAGCGCCTGACAGAACCCTTTAAAGTTCTACATATGAACCGCCTGACGGAACCCTTTTAAAGTTCTACATA